GGCAGGAGAATGTTGATAGTCATGATGAAGCTCAGATGTTCATTAGATGTTCCATTACAAGCAGAGAAAGAGGCTGAGAGGCCAGATGTAGTTTTTTTTCTCAAGAGAATCAGGGTTGAAATGTGAAAAGAATGTGCTAATTGGGGATACAGAAAAGGAGGCCTACTTCGAGATAGATAGAAGAGATGAAATCGCTCAACATAGACAGATGGCTCAGGGGAGATGTCGCTCCATCAGATTACGACAAGAAGAACCCTCCTGCATCTTCCCAAGGGAAAGGGAATAACCTTTTGAGTATATATGAGAAGTGAATTAGGCTGATTCCTCAGAGGAATCAACGTTTGGTTTATGGCAGCAATTCCTTTCTTGTGTTCAAATTTCATGGGCCTTGGATTTCATGTTTTCAAGTTTATGTTCCTGTTATTTCATAGACCTTCAATTTTATGTTTTCACATTTCTGTTCCTGAATTTCGTGTTGTTCCTGGATTGGATTGGGATCACAGACTCTTGTAACTCTTGGATCTTTGTTATGGTTTTTATGCATTCCTGTTTCTCTGGATGAACTCTGTGTGTCAAGTCTTCAGTTGCAGTTTGCCTGAGCTTGGTGTTTGGATTCCTGTTCTTCAAGTTTAAGTGACTTTTACTATGGACAATATCTTATACTACTTTTGATAATTGTTTATCCTTTTGCTGAAGCTACATTTATTCTTTAATAAACTGATTTGCTTAAATACTGGATTCTGGAGTGTGAGATTGGTTCAAAGGTGCCTTCCCAGACTGGTGTGCAATAAAAGTATCAAAGTGCTATAATTTTACAGATGCACTTTGAGTCAGTATGAAACACCAGTATTAAAGCACACCCCCACCATTGTCGAGTCAAGCTAATCAAATACAGACAGTCCTCGAGTTACAAACATTTGACTTACAAACAAGTCATATTTAAGAAAGGTGGTGAGACAACAGAAAGTGAGAGAATCTACCCCTCGGAGAAAAAATGCATTCCTGAAATAGTTCTCATGGGAAAAAGGTGTCTTCACTGAACCTTTCTTAACAATCCTTGTTTTCATAAGAGAAGATCAAAATGTTCAAAATCCAATTGTCACGGGGATAAAATGGGAGGTGATGTTGTGATTCATGGCTCTGAGTCTGAAGCTGAGCCCTGTGGGGCTTGTGAGCCAGAGTTCACTGATGAGGAGGATGATGGGTTATAGATTTCTGTTCACTCAGACAGGGTTGAAGGTGAGGCTGCAGAAGGGGAAACAGCAAGTCAGTTCTCAGGGGAAAAGAATGTCAGTGAGACTGATAACGGGAGTGAATTCCCACACAGCCAGGTGGAGATATCTTTGCCTCCTTTGCCTTCCCACGGTGATCCAGCCCAGCTGGTAAACCAAGATAAGGGATTAGAGAGCCTTAAAGATAATGAATTAATGAGCAGGCAAGATCGCCTGCAATTAAGGGTCTGGAGAAGTTCTCGCTTAGCTAGTAAGCGAGAGGCCAAGTCGGCCAAGGGTCATCGCAATGCGTTCATGATTGCAAAGGGTATTTAGCCTTCTCACTGACACACAGGCGTTGTCAGTTCAACGTGGCTCTTTCCATGCAAACTTCTATGGATTAACCTTGGCTTTAAGCAGCACGCTTCTGGCTTCCTGAGTCTGGGATTTTGGGTTCTTGTGTTCAACTGTTTTTCATGGACTATTGTTTGACCATTGCTTAAAGGATTATGCTTCATGTTTTTGCCTTTGGATCTTGGGAACTGTGTCTTTGCATTTAAGCCTTTTTGGAACTTTGCATTTCTTATACTATGTTTTGACTTTGCCTTTTCTTCAATAAACTACAAAATCTACAGCTTTGGTGTGGTGGTGTTTGGGAGCAAGGTGAAAACTACTCTGAGTTGCAACAAGTGAAGTCTTTTGAACATGGGCACAGATAGCAAAAGAAGCACCCACAGGGGTGTTAACCCTTCCCTATGCTATCCAAAGCTTTAAAAATGGCTGGAGTTTCACTTTAAAATGTACTTGTTCAACTTATATTCAAATTCAACTTAAGAACAAAACCACAGAGCCTATCTTGTTTGGAACCTGGAGATTGCCTGTAATACGCTGGGCTCCCAATATTTTCTAACTCTTGATTTCAAAGTATGTCTTTGTAATAAGAATGCAAAAGAGATGTAGCAGCAACCACGAGCAAAATGACACTTGCCAATGACAGCTTTCAACTAAGCATGTTAATATCCTACCATGTTCTTTTTATGCTTCGAGAACCAACGGAATCAATTTCAAAATTCAGGCAAAGAAATTCCGTACAGCTCTAATGGGCTCAGACAGAAATACAATATGTGTAAATATATACTTGAGTGTGATTTTTCACATTAATTTTAGCTATGAAATGCTGCATTATATTCCCCATAAGGGAGGTCTGTAAGCCAAACGTGACAAATACATACACCATTTTCTGGTACAATGTGTCTGAAACTACTTTTATTATTATTATAACAGCATCGTTATTAATAATAATGCCAATAAATTTGTTTCACCTTTAAAGGTAGCATTTTTCAAGGCAATTTACAACAATAAACACAACAAACATTGATGCCATTAACTAAAACACGAGAATTAAAATACAGTAAAATAAAAATGTTAGAGTTTAAAAAACACAAAATGATTCAACAAGCAAACCAGTCAAAATCAAATTAACGAATTCCGTTCTTTACTATCCACTTAAGAACAGTGAGGGAAGATATCAGCTTGCCGTTCTCTTTTGCATTCATGGTGGGACAGCTCCAAATAGATTTGGAGGCTGGGTTGTTGTAGGTTTCTCAGGCTTCATGGCCCTGTTCTAGAAGCATTCTCTCCTGATGTTTCACCTGCATCTGTGGCAAGCTTCCTCACAACCTCTCAGGATGTTTGCCACAAATGCAGTTGAAAAGTCAGGAGATAATGTTTCTAGAACATGGCTATACAGCCCAAAAAACCTACAACAACCTAGTGATTCTGGACATGAAAGACTTTGACAATGATTTGGAGGCTAATTCTCTTTTTTGTCACTGCATATTACATATGCCAGCAAGTTTTGTTTTGTGTTTTTTAAAATTTTGTGGTTTTGAAAATTGAGGTTCACATTAGATCTGATGCCGCATTAGGCAAGTAAAAATGGTATGTTTCCACTGATAGACTAATACCAAGAGAGTCTTTTAGCTGTCTACTTGTGCAGTATTATGGTAGGTTGTAAGCTTGTTTGATAAAAAAAAAGTTCAAAACTCGTTGTGGATGCTGGTGGTTTAATTTGGAATTGAATTCCGAATCTTTCTGAAAAAATTCTGAACTTTCCGCAATATCTGAAATTTTCGAATTGCTTCGTTAATGGTGGACACGATTGCACAATATGCGAAAAACACAACACAAAGAAAAGTAAGGCCACAAACAGGAGGGAGGCATTTTTGGCTTTTGGAAGTTGATTTCACACCTTTAGGAAGGAAAATATTTTGACTATATGGGATTTCTCGTGTTTCCTCAGTGGCAACACAAAGAAAATTAAGGACACAAACAGGAGGGAGGCTTTTTTGGCTTTTTGAAGTTGATTTCACACCTTTAGGAAGGAAAATATTTTTACCATTTGGCAACACAAAGCTAACTGAGGAAACTGAGGCCTTAAAACTAAGACACCAAGAAAAAAGGGGAAAGGGATCCATGTAATTCTAGTGGAGCCAACGTTACTCTATTATTATTATTATTATTATTATTATTATTATTATTATTATTAAACTTTATTTGTACACCGCAAGCATCTCCCAAAGGACTTGATGCGGCTTACAAAGGCCAAGGCCTCAACAACAACAACAAACAATAACAATGCAGTGCAAGCAAATAAAAACATAAGCAATAACAACAACAAAACATAACACTATTACGCAATAAAACCAGGGCTGGGCCAATGAAGGGTACAGGTTAAAAAGTGCTGGGTATAAAAGGATTCTGGGCAAGTGCAATGTGCAGAGAGTCTTAAGCTCTAATAAAGTGCTTCTGGGATGTAGTGCTGGAGGTTATACTATTCTGGAAAAGCACATCGGAATAACCAGGTCTTCAAGTTCTTCTTAAAGACTGCCAACGTAGGTGCTAGTCTAATGTCTTTGGGGAGGGTGTTCCAAAGTTGGGGGGCAACCACAGAGAAGGCCCTGTCCCTCGTCCCCACCAAACATGCCTGCGACACAGGTGGAATCATGAGCAGGGCCTCTCCGGATGAACGGAGGGTACACGTGGGTTCATATATGGAGATGCGGTCACGCAGGTAGGCAGGTCCCAAACCTCAAGAGGAACCCCATCCAGATTCTGAAATACTTTCACCCTGTACAGGAAACTTAACTTGCAATTTAACGAACAAGTCTCCTTCATTAGGAAGAAAGACATGAAAACCAGCCCAGCTCCCACCTTGACCAGTACACTTTGGCATAGTTGAGTTTGTGGGTGCCTCTTATCGCCCTTTGACAAAGTCAAAGGCTTGCTCATTTACAGTGCAGTCATATATTTCCCAGAGCAAAAACAAAAAGCACTTCCTTCAGTCTTTTGGCAAAGACATCTTACATTTTTGTTTAGGAAAACTATGCTAGATGGCATTTTCTGCATGTTTTGTTTAAAATCACATTTCTAAATGAATTGCTCACATTCTGTAAATGCTAATTTTTAGGAGGAAAGGGAAGGGGGGTATTTTCACTTAAGATAAAAATCACACCAATTAGCATATAAATGGTTTCAAATCTCTATTTGCAAATCTCATAAATGTTTTAATGGGCAGAATAAGCTGATAAGTAACAGAAATGTAATGGGAAAATGTGAATGCTAAAATATTGAGCGGATATCTTTCATTGTATATGCAATATAATTAAAGTAACTTCCTTGCACATGCATAGACACACTCATATAAAAAAAAATACACAGTCCTCAGAGGAAAGCATAAAAATGAAGAATGCTACTGGATGAAGGAAAGGAAAGGACAGAGAAACCTACAAAGCAATCGGTGTCTTTGGGTCCGGAACAGCCTCCTGCACATTCCCGATGGCAGCACTCACTGACTGAGCGGCCGTAGCATCGTCCATCACACTGTTCGGCACATACCACTTTTGTTACTGGAGAGGACATGAAAAAACAAAACAAACATATCAGATCAGAAAACAAGTGAGAGCAGGTCATAAGTAGAACTCAGATAGCTGAACCAATGTGAAACAGCAATAGGAAATGAAGGAGACGACTTGTGAACATATCAAATCACTTATGATTAAAGTTGTCTGTGTTTGTCAATTTCATCCTCGCAAGCAAGAATAAAAATTATTTCATTTTTTTTCTTTCTAGAAAGTTGTGGGAAACCCACACATTTTTACAAGACTAATTTGCACTTACTAATGCAAAAATAATGACACACTTTTGAGGACAAAAATTTCTGTATAGAGAACAACAATCTTGTGCAGAAAAGAAGGTTTCCTGTATAGAAACCAGTATATCTTTACATAAATGATATTTTTGGTATAGAAAACACTGCAAAGGAAACTTTAAATACACTGATTTTTTCTAAGCACACAATGACATTTTCCGCACACAAAACTATACTGAACTATGAGCATTTTTCATACAGAATATGCTCAATCTGCAAAAATTCTCATATCTAGAATTCTTTTAGTGAACATTTTCATGAATATTTCCATATGAACTTTCAATCCATACTAATGGCAAAGTAAGTAAATTCTTAACACCCATAAAATCTAAAATATGTAACTTTCAACTTAAGTGCATGTTGGGGCAGGAAGTGGTAGAGAAAATGCTGGATATCATATTAGTTGTTAAATATATAGGTGTGAAGTATTTGATGAGTTTTCTGTTATATAGGGAATATGTAAATCAATACTTAAATGTCTGGAGGAATGTCATTTAGAAGAATAAATAAGCTTGTTTTCTGTTACTTCCTATGAAATAGTTTATTTATTTATTTATTTATTTATTTATTTATTTACAATATTTGTATCCCGCCCATATCAGCCCAAAGGCGACTCAGGCCGGTGTACAAGTCGGCTACAATTAGATGCCATATATAAAAATACATACATCGGTAAAAAGCAAAAGCATCACAATACATCTAAAAACATAAAAACAATGAATAGTAAAATTATAAAAACTATGTCTTTTTGTTCAAATCCTCAACTGTTCCATCATCTTGGCCGTTCCTAATTCATTTTCCGATTTGAGGGGTTTTTTTTCATGCTGTGGCTCCAAATACTTGCTCAAAGAGCCAGGTTTTCACTTTTTTTGAAAGGAGGGAGGGGGCTGATCTAATATCCCTAGGCAGTATTCTACAGCTGAGGGGCCACCACAGAGAAGGCCCTGTCTCTCATCCCCACCAAACATGCTTGTGAAGCAGGCAGGATTGAGAGCAGGGCCTCCTCAGATGATCTCAAGTTCCTGGAAGGTTCACAGGGAGAGATGCGTTCAGATAGATAAGCTGGGCCAGAACCGTTTAGGACTTTATAGGCTAAAGTCTGCACTTTGAATTGTGCCCGGTAGTTTGGATTAGTTTATTTGTTTCAACTCACCATGTTCTTCCTCCTTTCCTATTCATTCCTATTAATCCATTCCTTCCTCCATTCCTGCCATATAATGCAGTTTAACTGACTGAAATTGCAATTTGAGTCCACACTGACCATATAATGCAGTTTCGAATTGCATTATATAGCAATATAGATAGGGCCTAGGTAAAAGAAAAGCAAGTTCCTATAACACCTCACAGCTCATGTGTTGATCTTCATTGATTACTTTTACCATCTTGACATCACTCCAATGCTACTTAACTATAAATAAATTAATTTTCATATGTGAAATGTTAGAAATGTTGTTAAGGTACAAATGGGGCACAGAAAAAGAGTAAGAAAGAGTTTAGGTCAAGAAACAAATTCTGGAGAAGACAGTAAAGTGAAGCAAGATACCATAAGGCAAAAAGTACTCCAAATGGACAGTAAGTTGATCAGACAGAAAATAAGTGTGGAGTAATTAGCACATAAAATCAAACATTGCCTTCCTGACCATAGAATCAATAAAGAAGCAGTAAAAAATGTTTTCGCCGAGATTGACTGCCACATTCTCCCGTTTCGGACGGGAATCTGTGATGGCTGCCCCCTTGCCGTTACTAGCACCCAAACAAACAGAAGGAGCCAGATTGGGCAAAGGAAATGGCTAAAAACGGATGCAATCCCATGCCTACTTAACATATGACAGCAAGATCCTTCAGAGCTGTGAGTTACTTACAACTAAGCCTGAATCTACACTGCATTTCTTTATTTATTTACTATACTTGTATACCACCTTTCTCAGCCTATCGGTGATTCAAGGCGGTTTACAACGAGTTAGTACACACAATAGCAAAATACAGATTAAGCATTAAAACAATATAAAACCACAATAGGAACAAGAAAAACCATCATCATTATCATCAGCGTCTCCTAGTTAAAAACGTTGTCCAAATTCCATTTCCTATGTCAGTTACTCTGCATTTGTTACTCATGCTCATATAACCATGTCTTAACTTGTCTCTGAAATGTTAAGAGTGAGGGAGCCGATCTAATCTCCTTAAAGAGGACGTTCCATAGCCAAGGGCCACCACGGAGAAGGCCCTTTCTCTTGTACCCACCAAACGTACTTGTGATGAAGAGCAGGGCCTCCCCGGACTTAGATGGTTCATAAGGAGAGATGCGTTCGGACAGCTAAATTGGGCCATATAATCAAACTGGATTATGTGGCAGTGTATACTCATATAATCCAGTCCAATTAAGGTAATCTGCATTTTGAAACTGAATTATATGGTAGTGTAGATCAGACATTGTCCCAGAACACTCTCCAATTCTTTCATCTTCATCTTATTATCTTGCAATATTGCAAAAATTCTGACCAAAATGTTGTTGATTAAGGTAAGTTCTCCATTGTGTAAACTGGAAGAAAATCCAACACTCAAATCATATCCAGAACACTATCTTTTCTTGAGCTAATTATCCTGCTATTAGGGGAGAAAGTGCCGTCAAGCCATAATCATAAAATATGCAGAAGTGGTTTATACAGGTTAAACACTACTGTGTCCCATATTCCCAGGGTAGCTGCTGGTTCAGAAACAAGCAGTCAACAACCTGACTGCCCTCTTCAAGGTAACTGTTAAATAAAACCTCCTGAACTCTCTGCCCAATTTAAATATGGTTCACTTTTCAATCATTTATTAGATGAACCAAAAAAGCCCCCAAACAAAACAAACTCTAAAAGATTTTTTTCAGAAGTGTGCGATAAAAAGTTGGAGAAATTCACCAAGGGCTTAACTTTGTTTTCTGCCAATGGAAAAATATAACATTATGTTCCAGCAATGCTACTTACGCTTTTATAAGTGATCATTTATATTATATTTCCAGCACCCAGAGACTTTAGTAATCCCTAACTGCCTTATCCTCATATTTTCCCAGCAAGACACACCACCATTTGTATACCTTTCATTCAAAAACCTGTCAGTTGGGAAGGGATTTGCGTTCAATTTTTATTACAGATGGTAATTTTAGCAGGCCTAACCTTATTAGATACTAGTTGCTGTCTGTCTTAGAATTTAGGCATAACACATATTCATGTTATGTTTGTTTTCTTAGCCACAACTTATTTCCCTGTAATTGCTGTTCTCTGTTTGTTGTTCATTCGTTCAGTCATTTCCGACTCTTCGTGACCCCATGGACCAGCCCACGCCAGAGCTCCCTGTCAGCCATCACCATCACCAGCTCCTTCAAGATCAAGCCAGTCACTTCAAGGATGCCATCCATCTATCTTGCCCTTGGTCGGCCCCTCTTCCTTTTTCCTTCCATTTTCCCCAGCATCATTGTCTTCTCTAAGCTTTCCTTTCTTCTCATGATGTGGACAAAGTACTTCATCTTTGCCTGTACTTTATTTATTTACTAGCCATCCCCTGCCATGCGTTGCGGTGGCCCACATGGGGGTTCTGTGTGGGAGGTCTGGCCCAATTCTATCATTGGTGGGGTTCAGAATGCTCTGTGATTGTAGGCGAACTATAAATCCCAGCAACTACAACTCCCAAATGTCAAGATTCTATTTTCCCCAAACTCCACCAGTGTTCACATTTGGGCATACTGAGTATTTTTGTAGAGTTTGGTCCAGATCCATCATTGTTTTGAGTCCACAGTCATCTTTGGATGTAGGTGAACTACAACTCCAAAACCAAAGGACACTGCCCACCAAACCCTTCCAGTATTTTCTGTTGGTCATGGGAGAACTGTGTGCCAAGTTTGGTTCAATTCCATCGTTGGTGGGGTTCAGAATGCTCTTTGATTGTAGGTGAACTATAAATCCCAGTAACTACAACTCCCAAATGACAAAATCAATTTTTTTGAGTGAAGGACATACATTGGCTTGATAGATGTCTTGTGTCCAAATTTGGTGTCAATTCGTCCAGTGGTTTTTGAGTTCTGTTAATCCCACAAACGAACATTACATTTTTATTTATATAGATGTGTGTGTTTTTTTTATCAAAGATTTAGAACCCTTCCATACTGCCCAGAATATCAAGACAGATAATCCACATTATCTTCTTTGAACTGGGTTATCTGAGTCCACATTGCCATATAATCCAGTTCAATGTGGATTTTATACAGCTGCGTGGAAGGGGTCTAAGCCTGCTTTATTTATTAGGACCTGTGTGGAGGACTAGTTATTGCTCACCTTCTGCTCTGTACCGTCTGCTATTCTTTCATGAATATTCTTTCATGAATAATATTTCATCTATTATTCTTTCATGAACCTTGTGGTCTTTTCCGGCTATGAGCACCAATTGCTCTGAGGCGCACATTTCAAATTCCCAAATACGTTTTAATGCTTACATCAAATGAGTCACCTACCGTATGTGCCTGGCATATCCCGGGTGTCCTTGGGATCACTGCCCACCAACTTTCTCCATTTTCCAGCTCTAAGGGAGTCTCCCTCACAATTGTCTCCGTGGCAACATGACTCTTTTTGTGGCTTCTTCATTTTTTTCCCTCCTCCCTTCCCCTCATACACATGCTACCTTTCTTTCCCTGTGACATCACAGAGGGACACTTCACCT